TTTTCATTTCTCTTCCTCCGCGTGAAAGTAGATTTGCCTAATTGTCGAATAAATATATTGGGAAACGGAAGTGTGAAATAATTAATTTCTCGGTAAAAGGAAATAAGATTATTAATTTTATTTTTACGTAGATTTTTAAATATTAATAGATTTATTTCTGATGGAGAATGTAAACGTAAGCGTGATTATGCTCTTAAATTAGACGAACCACGAGTATGACGATATTAAGTATTGTGGAAAATATTTTGAAACTCTTTTTATTATTATTATTTTGCGTGAAACTTTGATTCGAGGTAACTCGATGATTGCAATTTAAAAAATTTTCATACGTTTTATTTTACGAATTGTTGTGAACTCCAGTGGATTTCATTTGAATTCTCTGCTCCAAGTCAGAACTTGGCGGAGAAATTTTATTTAAATTCACTCCGGCGACTACTTCTAATAAATTTCATTTAAATTGTCCGTGAAAAAAATTTTGTTTTCCGCGGGACGTCTTATTTAAATTTTCCTTCGGCAACTCGGGCAAATTTCATTTGAACTTCGCTCGGCAGCCGGGGACTTCTAATAAATTTTATTTGAATTTTTCTCAGCAAGTGGAACTCGTGAGTAAATTTCACTTTAAATTCTTCTCCGCGCGACTCGAACTTTTTCACAAAATTCGTCTTGATTCTCTTTGCAATCAGTACTTTTTAATAAATTCTTCTCGTTTAAAGAATTGAGAGAAAAAAGAGTTAATTTATTCTAAAGTTTCTATTATAATAATTATATTATTATAATAAATATTATAATAATATTATAATATTATAATAATCTATTATAATAATATTGTAATATTATAATAATATATTGTAATATTATAATATTACAATAAACTATTATAATAATATTATAATATTGTAATAATAATTAGAATGAATTCGATTCGTAGAACTTTTTAGTCATTTTGAAAGAACTTTGGAATTTTGTTTATTGATCATTTTATCCTTCTCGTACTATTCGTCGATTAAAAAAAGTGTGAAACGAATCTTTCAATTGCTTCCAATGTACCGATACGTAATCCATCAAATAAACCTTGAAATATCGTAAAAGTTTTTTTTAAAAGGCGTGATATTGCGGAAAATTGGAAATTATAATTATAATTACTTGTAAATTATATTTAAATAAATACAAAGTATTTGTACATCGCCGTATTTATTATTATTTATTGTTTACATACACTTGCATGCAACACTAAATACATATTACATATTAATTTTATACGATACTAATTTTATATTACTAATAATTAACATATTACGTAATATTCGACAATACCTTCATACAATTAATATACTGACGTACAAATAATAATAATAATAATAATAATAATAATAATAATAATAATATACTGACGTACAAATAATAATAATAATAATAATAATAATTGTTATAATAACAATATTACCAATGATATAAAACATTTACACGTCACCATATTTATTGTTATTTATTATTTATTATTTACACGTTGCACTCACATGCAATACTTTATTTAACGTTCGTCAACAGTGCTCTCGACTCGATGACAAACATCACAAAAAGAACGAGACGTGACGCACTCTTACAATTGTAAAAATAAAGTAAACATAAACACGACGGCGATCTTCGTTTTTCCAAATGACAGCCCCCAGTGCCATCTCCAACCTCTCGTACCATTGAATTCTTCTTCGCGCCACCGGACCACGGAAGGTTATACGCCCCGCTACAACGCCAACAACAGGAGGCGGCCGGCTACTTGTTTGCACATTTTGTTTATGCCGCTATTTTTAAGCGAGTCGGAGCCGCCGAGCTGTGGACGGGTTTTTTCAGCGGCGGCGATTTTCACGGGCCGCCTGGCAAAGGCCGTTCCTTCTCCCTCTGTGTCCGTGAAAATACGCGGAAAGGTCCCCCCTCTGTCGGTATATCGGTCCAGAGGGTCGGTATCGTCGGTCCCTCCCCCTCGCTTCACTCTCGTTTTTCTTTTCGTTTTTGTGTCTCGACGTGCATACATATGTGACGTGCCCATAGTTCGAGAAAGAAAGAAAAGGGGAGGTTGTTGCACGACCGCGTGTGGTGTTCGATACGTCGCAATAGGGCGAAAAGTGGGCGAAGAGGGGGAGGGGGTGGGAGAAAAAGTGCCAACACAACTGTCGCGTGACCCAGATAAAAGGATAGCGGCGTAGGATATACCACGGGCAGAGAGGAGCTTTTGTCTGCCTTTGCAGAACTCGAGAAGAGTCAGCTCATCAGCGTGTCTATTCTCGGAGAATGGGACATCTCGAGAACCTAGTTAGTCAAGACGGCTGTCCTCTTCAACATAACAGAGGCAAATTAGAGTTTTTCACTGAGATGTGTGTGTGTGTGTGTGTGTGTGTGGTGGAGAAGGGACGAAGGGGATTTCGAAATGCGCGCGCTTCCCTCACCCCGTACGACGCCATTGGCTGCAATTTGCATTCGTTCTCCGCGCGGTGTTATTGGGTGCTTTTACGTTAGCCATGCAAATTAATTCTGCAATTCTCTCTCACTCTCTTTTTTTTTCACCTCTTGGGCTTGGACGGAATTCAGATTTTCATTTGTGCGCGGCGTAATGCGAATTTAAATCGCGCGCGCAAGAGAGAGAAAGAGTGAGGTTATGGCGGGAATTTCAATTTGAAACGAAATTTTTCGCGATCGACAATTTGACAACGATCTCGTTTCAGGGAATATCACAACCAACTTTTATTTATTTTCCAGTTCAAGGGAAGCAGGTTCGAAGATAATTCAATTTGGAATAAATGATTTAATGATTCCGATACTAGACGAATTTGTAATCGTAAATAGTTGATACGGCTCTTTGTATGTTTAAACGAGGAATTTTTTTATTTTAATTGACAGTTTCTGACTGAAATTTGAAATAGATAGATGTACAAGTCGGAATTATCTTACAACAAAAGTTGTCTCATTGCAGATTATTTTATTATTTACTATTTTTTTTTACTATTATTTATATTTTACTGTTAAGAAGTTTTGTAGATTATTTCAGAAATTTTATGAAGCACTTGCCCAAATAAAGAGAGGGTTTTATAATTTCTCAAAATTGTAGATTATTTCAGAAATTTAATAGTATTTTGTGATTTTGTAAAATTGCAGACTATTTCAGAAATTTTATAAAACATTTTGCCCAAATAAAGAGAGAAATAGATAGTTATTCCATTTGATAATTAACAACTTTGAGAATCAAATAAATGTACTACGTGAATAAGTATTTTTCGTACATTTTACTTAAAGAATGCCTCATTCTGTTATATGCATAGTCGTCGGAATAATGTAAATTATCTCGTTATTCCACTGTAAATTGAAATAATTCAACATTTCGTTTTCTTATTTCAATAAATGTTTTCCTAAAGTAATTTCTGGCTTCATTTATGTCGGAGATGAAGTTTATGCAGTTATTATCCGGCGATAAATTGAAAAGTGAACGTTCCTCCAGATAAAATGCTGCATTATCTTGTGAAATACTGTGTAAACTTTATTGCTCATAAGTCAAACGTAGATTAATTAAAATAATAATTACTTCGTCGTTTTTCAATATTCGAGCATGAACGAGAAACAAATTGTAAACTTTCGGAAGAATATTTTTAATTTTTTCTACGTCTTCGTAAATATTTATTAAAAATGAAGAAACCAAAGTTTCTTTCACAAAGTCAAGCAAAATTTCGTTCACAATAAAATTTCAATAGTAATGACGATTTTGTTAATAATAAAAATTTCAGTAACAATTAATAAGTAATTGCTAGTAATAATAACAATTAAATCTCTAATTAATAGTGGTTTCTAGCCAATATTATACTTACATTAAATAATGATATAATAATAGCGTAGATTTAATAAATAAATAATATTAATAATTCCAATAACAACAATAACAACTATTTATTAATAACTAACAAATTTTTGTGATTAATATTAAAAATCGAACGAACTTCTTTCTTTCCAACAGAAAATTTCTCTTGAAGCACTTTGCAAAACTACTGCACATGAGACAAGTACAAAAATATTCAGACATAATTAAAATGGTCGAAAATATTTCTTGAAAATAGATGAGATAAATTAAATTTAATTGTACAAATTATAAGAGATATACAAATGAACGTAATTACATGTTAATTGCATAATCTGAAAATAACGAGCAAAAGATAAACGCGAGCATCTAATTAAAAGAAAACGTATATATATTATAGGTGAGTATTCCTATAGGATTTCCCTTTTATTTGTGTTTGAAATGTGTTGACACTATAATACTTTTGTTTTTACGAGTGTTTTAAATTTTTTAACATCTTCCTTGTCAATGTCTGTGTAACTTAGTTTAAGTTCCATTTTGAATGATTGAATTTTACTGAACTGAACTTGAGTGATTAGTTATGTAAGTTTCGTACAAAGCTCTTTTTTATGGTAGCTGCTTATGTACTTACATGCATCATCATTTATCATTCATCAAAATGTCACCAAAGTGTCTACCATAATATTAATTACTGCTGTTGATGAAGTTCCACTTCATTAACGATTTAGATATTGTAAGAAAAAAGGATATCTTGTCTATTTTTGGACATGAGTGAAATTCTTTGTAACATTAGACTGTAACTTGTTGAAAATAAATTCCTAATACTTGTTTGAACTGTTTTCAAAATTCGTGAGCTCTTTCGATATTCAATTTTTAATTCCAATTCTTCTAAATCACTGGCATACGAAAAATAAAATAATAATGAAAACAAGAAAACTTTTAAATTACTAGCATACGATCAATTTTAATAATAAAAAGAAGAACAAAATAATAGTGAATAACAAAGAAAAATAAAATAATAATGAAAACAAGAAAACCAAAAATATTTGAGAATATGTTTCAAGTTTAAATAAATAATTTTCCATTGCGGACGGAGCTTGATTTAATCGATTTAATTAGACATTAATCGGCACTTGGAAACGACCTCGATCAAAAATTATCATCTATAACGTTCGCTGTGTAATTTGCAGAAAATATGAAAGCCAAGAAACCGATCGACTTACCGATTCCAAAGGGTATGGACGAGGATCTCGACGAGGACGAGGACGACCTTGAAGATGATGATGGCCTGGACACTGACGCAGACGACGAAGATGACTCTGACGCTGATCCCGAGGACGTGCTTAGCGATCAACCTGACGACGACGAGAGTGACGAAGAATATCTAGACGATTACAATTACGACACCACGACAAGGTAAATTTTCATTAATAAATATACATTATATACATTATAAATATATAAATATACAAATTTATAAATATTATACATATTAATAATATTATAAATATTATATATAATATTTATAATATTTATATATATTATATTTATAATATTCTAATATTATTAATATTTAATATTATAATATTTTAATATTTTAATATTTAATATTATAATATTTTAATATTTAATATTATAATATTTTAATATTTTAATATTTAATATTATAATATTTTAATATTTTAATATCTAATATTATAATATTTATATATATTATATTTATAATATTTTAATATTTATATTTATATATTTATATTTATATATTTATATATATTATATTTATAATATTTTAATATTTTCTTAATATTTATATTTATATATTTATAATATATATAAATATTATAAATATTATATACAATATTATAAATATTATATATAATATTTATATACAATATTATAAATATTATATACATTATAAATATATAAATATACAAATTTACATTAATTATAAATTTACATTAACTCTTGCAATATTTAATACAATTAATTTTGCGATATTTATATAATTAATATTACATCACGTAGTGAGACAATAAGCAAACGATGATGGCAAAATGTTTGTGGTATAATAACTTTGGCTCTGTTTGAAATAAATATTTTAACGAATGATGAATTAAACAATTATTCCATATTATCATTTGTTGGATTATAATAAATCTGTAGATATTAAAAGACAGAGTATCCAGATATTCATATTTCTTTGTATAATTAGTTTTCGTTGCAAATGAAAGAGATGGTGAGAATAATAATAAATGTTACAAATATTATTAATATTATTCATTAAAATGTATGTGAATCTTTAGATATTGAGAGAGTGAGACAAAGCAAACGACAGTGGCAAAATGTTTGTAGTATAATAACTTTGGCTCTGTTTGAAATAAATATTTTAACGAATGATGAATTAAACAATTATTCCATATTATCATTTGTTGGATTATAATAAATCTGTAGATATTAAAAGACAGAGTATCCAGATATTCATATTTCTTTGTATAATTAGTTTTTATTGCAAATGAAAGAGATGGTGAGAATAATAATAAATGTTACAAATATTATTAATATTATTCATTAAAATATATGTGAATCTTTAGATATTGAGAGTGTTAGATCCTTGACACTGTGAATATTTGCAGTGAAATTTTTCTGTTTCATTGAAAGTCATCTTAAAAAATATTCATTCAAGTATTTCAATATATTTTATGTACTGTTGTAAGAATTATTTAAATATTCCATTGTGCATTAAACGTTTTTCATATTGTCGACAAAACAAAACTCTTGACTTTCTAGATTTTCAATGAAATATTATTATAAATGCCTGTAACAGGAATCGTAAAAAGAGCTAAACGCTTCGATACTCTTGATGTACATAACTGTTTTATAGTAAATAAAACTAAAGAGGATTCAGTGGACAATTTACACTTTGACATTTGCTAAATTTTGTGAAATTTTAATCTTCCAAGCGGGGGTAATTCTGTTAAATTATTATCATACTAATCCTTTGTGGCCTAAATTATGGACTTCAAATTTGTATCCCAATTGGACAGTAATTTCAATTAATAGTTCGACTACTGTGCGTTTCGTATTTTCGCGAGCGCGAATATCATTGTAATCCGACGAATTTCACATTTCGGCTGTAATAAATGATTTCGAACGCAGCGAACAACCATTAATAATTAGTTACTCACGCGATCGAAATGTAAATGTAATTTATAAAATGTGTAGGAGATGCTTCTCGTGATTCTCTTCAAGATTTACTCGTGGATATTAAACGTGGAAAGCTTTAGATCAACTGCTCGACATTAATAAATGCAAATGAAACAATTGCACGTGGAATTTTAGAAAAAAAAAAAAAAAGAGATCAGTTTGTTTGACGTGATATCGTAAAAAATGAGAAACGAGACCGCTGACACTTGCGGCAATAGAAATTGAAATAACGAAATGAAATTAAAAATATTACATATATTATAAACTAAAATTATAACAATGTAAAGTTAAAAATTAAAATTAACAAATTAAAAATATTCTTTGCATTCGTTTCGTAAACGTAGAATACGCTTGATGAGAAATCGTCAGGGAAGATTTCAAGCGATTTCGTTAACGCTGTCGCGATGAATCACGCTCGAAAAAAATCGTCGAAAAATTCGCAAAAATCGAGACCAGCTCGATTTAATTGTCTCGTTAACGATCGCTTGATAACGCCTAATAATCTTCCCGGTAAATCAGCCTAAGTAATTATCGCCGCGCGATCATTAAAACGTGCGTGCATCATTTACTAATGCGTGGACACGTGTTCGTTATGCCTAGCCGATTGTCAACGACAGTTTCAACCACAGAGAAACCGAAGCAGGACGTGACCGCGATGCCGTTGCCAGTTAGCACCAGCACGCAGCAATCGTCCCAGTCGCAGAGCACGCCGGATCCGTATCTGACTCACTTCGATCCTCGTTCCGAGCACCAGAGCTACAAGCAGGCGCAAATGAGGCTCGAGGAGGTGCACAAGGAGAAAGTGACAAAAGTAAGCGAGGGTGTTTTACCGCCTAGCTCGCTTCTCCCCCCCTCGATTCATTTTCCAAAATACATTTTCCAAAGACAAAGACAAAAAAAAGAAAATGACGATTTCAAACTCACCTTGAGTTAAGATAGTCTTCTCTTCAGTTAAATTGAATTTGTTACGTTTTATTTTCTTCAATCACTCACACACACACTGCGTTTCGTTCGCTTTTACTTTCGTTGAGTTTTCCTTCTTTCTTTTTTTATTTGATTGCGAGTATAAGTAGTTTGCTAGACTGAAGAGTAGATAGATAGATAGAGAGAGAGAGAAAGAGAGAATTATTGCAGAAGACAGAGGCAGAGGTCAAGCTTCAAGAGATAGCTATTATCTCGCGGGACGCTAGTGTCGAAATCTTTGTGCTACAACGTTTTCAGGTGATGAAGGACTGGAGTGATCTCGAGGAGAAGTATCAGGACATTCGTGCCCACGACCCGGTAGCCGCCGACGCTTTCAAACGATGGATGACCGCGCGGTTCCAGGAGACGGTCGCCGCTCTGGAAGAGAGCGGCGCCGCGGAGAAGCATCAGTTGAGCGCTATGCATCAACAACGAGTGCAAGTACGTGACACGAGTAGCGTAATCGAGCGGGCGGGTGATGACGAGCGATTTTTGAAAGGAGAGACGCTCGTGGATAGATTATGGACACTGTTACACATATACTGGGGCAATACAATAATAATTCAATTGTTCTTTGTGCTTCGTTCAAACGTTGCATTTAATTTTCCGAACATCACATTATGTAAGTTAGATTTAGTTGGTATGATTTACTTGTTGTTTCATTTTCTTTGGTTCTTTCTCTTCTTTCTTTCTTTCTTTCTTTCTTCTCTTCTCTTCTTCTTTTGTTAAGCTAAAAGAATCTTCTGACATTTGCACGTTTAACTTATGCTTTTATGATTTCATAAAGATCAAAGGAAATGTATGATATGTAATAGATTTCTTTTCCTACGATGAATGCCATTGATAATTCATTTATGTGTTGATGCTCAATTATGTTTTTGTATTTGATATTCAACAGATGTGACATTGGAACAGATATGATTAATGGCATCCATTTTACAATACGTTGTATATTAATTACTCATCATATTCATATGAAAAAGGAAAGAAGGAGAGATGTACAATATTTACCGTCATATTAATCTGCAGGAAGCTGTTAAACAAAGAAACGAGGAAGCAATGTCATGCTACACAGCTGCTCTGAACGAGACTCCACCAAATGTAAGTTCCTCAGTTATTTTACAGAACCTCAAATTCACGAACCTCAATTTCATCATGATCTTTCGTTTCGTTCTTTAGATTCACCGAATCCAGAAATGCCTCCAGAAATTGCTCCGAGCTCTTCACAAGGACAGGCATCACACCATTGCCCATTACAAACATCTGCTGGACAGCAGCTTGGAGCAAGCTCAACGGGAGAAGCCAGCAACGTTGGAACACTTGGCAGAGATCGACAGAATCACCAATCAGAGTCTGTTGATGCTAGAACGGTAACGTTATCGATCGCCATAACGTTAACAGTCAACGTCTCAGAATATCAAATTCCAGATTTTGACAGTGCAGAAAAAAAAAAGAAAAAAACATACATTGTACCTTGATAATAGAGTGCTATATGGAGGATTTCGTTCGTTATATTTAGGTACCCTGATTTAAGCGCGAAAATTGGCCGGCTTATGGATGATTACGTTTTGGCCCTCAGGAGCAAAGATGAGACTCCTGGACTGCTGCTAGCGATGACGCGAGAAGCGGAGGCAGCCATTTTAGATAAATATCAGGCTGATGTTACCAGTAAGCAACAAGGTAACTTTGAAAAGACTCTGGCAAAGTCTCGTCGATGAGTCTCACGTTAAGAAGGATCACGATAAGCGTGTTTTTTGTTCATTAATTCAGTCTCTTTTGAATGACACTGGTAATTCTAATGAATTAATATTTCCATAGTATTACAATATTGTCAAATGTACAAAATCCTTTCATATGTACAAGTTAAATGTAAAAGTTAAAGTGAAAGTAGATAAAAATAGAAAGAATCAAGGTTTGATCAAAAGTATCGCAGGGAATAAAGGCAATATTTTGAAAATTGAAGGAAGAGATGAAAAATGTGACCTATCGTGTTCTCTTTCCATTGTGATATTTGATAAAAAGGGACTACGTGAATACAATATTGTTTCGCAGAGAAAGAACATCAAAGACAATTGGAACGAGTGCGCAAGGAGCAACGCAAAGCTGAACGCGGCGAATTACGTACAGAGCAGGCGCAGCAAGAAGAGAACGACTCGATAAATGAGAACAAGGATAGCCAGCAACAGCCGGAACAACCATCCGCAGTGGCAGCTATGCACAGTGAAGGACTTGTAAGGGCAGCTCACAGCATGACACATGACATTTCCCACTCTGAACCGGTAGGTACAGAAAAAGCTCTACACAAAATTTTATATCGACAACGAAAGATTACAAGACTATCTTTGTTCTCTTCGTCACGTAGGGTTACTCTGTAAGAAGGGAGATATACCACAGGGAGAGTCGATCAGTCTATTTCACACTGGCGTTCGCTGGAATCGCACTCATGGCTGCAGCGGTGGTAGGTGTAGCGGTATTCAAAAGGCGCAGCGCAAGAAGCCCTCACAGTCAGGTACTATAAAACATGCCACTCTATTAATGTCATGTCATTAAAAATTATATATAATAAATTTAACCAAATTTCACTAATGTAATGTAATCGCTCGCTTCTGATTTAAACAGGGATTCATTGAGGTTGACCAAGCGGCTACACCAGAGGAGCGGCATGTCGCAAACATGCAGATCAACGGATACGAAAATCCTACATATAAATACTTCGAGATCAAAGAATAATTTAATCACCTCGGTCTACAAAATGATTTCGTTTCGTAACTGGTCTTTAATTGTACGTTCTCGCGCATGTTCTTTAAGACTCTCATAGTATTTTCGTTAGCGTAAGGCTAAGTAACAGTCAGGCTCGAGGTTCTTCCGAAGATCCCGAAAGTATATAAAAAATAATCCACATCCTTAGTGATGTATGGAATGAAATCTGTCCATAGGGAAGTAGGACATTGCGGATACAGTATCATTGCGCGACACGTCTCTTTATTATACGCTCGCGGCGTTAACACGACCACACATTCTAACGATCTATGATATGTATTAAGCAAACGTTTATATAACATCTTTCAGTAGATAGAGATGTTGCGAGTTGAAACGCACGGAATTATCTACTCACGTGGCAATTCGAAAGGGAAACAACATGCCAATGTGCCATATGGGAAGCGCGTGAAGTTGTTGTCTTCGGAAGTATCTCATTACACGTTGTTTTCGTTTCGTTGTCATATATGTATATGTTATTAACAAAAATAAACAAACAGGAAGGAGCGCTGACAATTGAGGGAAAAGAAAAAAAAAAAAGAAAAAAGGAAAGAAGAATCACTACTCACATTAAATGTTATAAGCGAATATACCCTTCAATCGGAAGGCTGTGGACTATGATCAGTTGCAGACTCATTGTTTTTCTCAGCAATAGGAAATGCGTACGATGCGATGGAAGAAACGCGATAACTCATCGTCGACGATGACGCATTTCGACACAGTATGCGTGCTGTTGCGCTCTTTGCTGTATATTTCTGAGTTCTGATATTTTTCGAGATAGTAAATGGCAATAATGGTAATCAACCGCAGCAGCTTAAATAAATACGTGAAACTAAGAGGGGGGGGGAAAAACAGTAAACGGTAGAGCAGCGGTAGCGGCTTGCACAGCGGCAGTATAAAAAGTATAATCCGACTTAAAAGAGAAAAGAAAAGAGAAAAAAAAAAATGATAAGCATATTAAATAAATAGCACTATGCGAGTAAATAAAAGAAAAAAGAAAAAAAAAAAAGACGTGTATGCTCTTGTACGACACTCTTAAAATATCAGAACAGCGATCAAAATGCACGTTCACCTTCGTGATTGCAGCTGTTTTTTCATCTCCGTTCGATTCCCACTGCCTGATTTTTTCAGCGACCTTTTTCAGTACTTAACGTCTACTTAGATTAATATAAACAACTTTATACTTGTAAGAAAATTGAATCACGAACGTATCTAAAAGTTATTGTAAACGAGAAGCAAGATATTTTATCATTCCATAACGATAAAGTCCACTATCTTATCGAGGTGCTGTCCGAACGTATGCACGGAAAATATTCGGCAGCTTTGTTCGATTCGGCCGAGTTGTCGCCGCGTTTCCGTCGCCGGTATGGAAACGGACGAGTCGAAAGAATCACGTCGATGTTGTCGAATAAGAGGAACAGTTTCAACACAGGAGTTTTTTTTGAGTGGCATTAGTACCTCCGATTTAGGTCGAAATAAGTGGCGACTGTTAAAAAAGGCAAGCGTGTTTCTGTCCTTTCTTCATTTCATCAGTTTATTTTCTGTCTCTCTCTCTTTCTCTCTCTCTCTCTCTATCTCTCTCTCTGTCTCGAAAGATGGTTCATACAATAACTATCTTAGGATATTAATTATATATGATGACGATAATATATTACACGTTTAATGCTTATATATTTGTATATGGTCAAATGGTAGTAGGCTGCGCTTTAGCCAGGGTCGCGTGGGAAAGCATAGCTTTCGGTTTTGTAGCACTTCTTCTTTTTACGTAGATTATATTCGTTTTCCTTTTTCTTCGTGTATCAATTAATTAGCCATGCATTAACGTATTACATTACGTCAAGTTGATAAGCATTACTCGTATAACTACGGCAACAGGAGAAGTACCAACAATCTTAGTCGCGCAAGCATTGTGTTAATAACGATCTTCTGAGATGCTTTTATTACTTTAAGTCTACGTTAAAGAGTTATACTCTAGTTTTCTCTGTCTTTCTCTCTCTCTCTCTCTCTGTTTATCAATAAGATAATTTATTTGTTTTGTGCTAACTTTGCTAAAAAAAAAAAAAAGAAAAAAAAAAGAAAGAAAAAGAGAAATAAATCAAGCGAATGCGCAAACCGAGGACGATTGAACGATAATCCTTGGATTCCTAAGCGCACGTGTAAAGCAGCTGCCTTCCTATTCAGCGAGCATAAGTTAAATGAAAAAAGAACACGCTGTTTCTCTCACGCAACTCCGGTGGAAGAACGAGCCAACGAA